GAAAAACAATGAGTGCCTCGACACTCTCCTGAGAAAAGAAAAATGGGTGCACGTGCATCCGCCAAAAAGAGAGGATAGCCCATGCTCTCAAAGATTTCAAAAGGAGAGAAGTATGACATTTGAATTCATAAAAATACAAACTAAATTTATATCCCACACGCTTGCACTATCTTGATCGAGGTGTATGACTAGTCTCTCTTAGAGGTCTAGTTTTTGACTTTGCATCATGACATGATGCAAGTATGCCTTCTTTTATCCCTTCCCAAAGATCCACAAAAAGCCTTATTAGATGGTAGGATAAAGAAAAGGCAAAGTCAAAAGCCTTTGGTGAGGAATATATACACATTGAGCGATTGAGTGTATCATTTGAGGAACTTAATCTTTCTTTGCAAAAACTTTGAAAACCTCTGGATAGATAGTCAATCAAAGAACGAATGATAAGCAGGTCTATGAATCTATTCTATTTTGCAATCACCCAAGACTTGGAGAGTGCTGAAAAGCCCCACAGGTAGCAAGATAATAATGGATGGACAAAATACCAATTTATTCAAATTACGGAAGAAAACTTTGTTATAAACATGGCATCTTTGAAATGTAATCGGCATAGTAGCAACTCCTGATCGACAACCAAAGCCTAGCTTTGCTCAGGGACGAGCAAAGGGTAAGTTTGGGGGATCTTGTTGGCGGTCCTTAACTATGATTTTATACCACCAATATAAGACCAAAAAGGGGAGAATTATATATTTTTATACACATATACCTTTGCTACTAACCCAATTCCACTTGTATTGGAGAAATATTATTTTGCAGGCTTATAAACAAATATAGGTGGAATTATAATAAAAAGGCGCCTTTCGGGAAGCGTAAAATGGCAATTGGACCAAGAAGCCCATCAGAAGATCATAACTGGGCCAATACCCATCACCACCGAGGCCCAGGACCCACGAAAGGCCCACCAGAGCAAGGCGGTGGGGAGGCGTGCCAGCCCTGACGCGGACGCACCAGGGGCGCGGCCGCGCCCTCCCTGCTGACCTGTGGGCCCTCCTTTCTCTGGTCGGCTCCATTATGGCAGAGGAGGGCGGTGCGGTAGGGGATCCGGGAATATTCCCCCCCAAACCAACCTTTGTACACTATATAAGAAGAGAGGGAGGCTCACACCAACACACACCTCATTTGGAACCACCTCACTACCCCCTCTTGTAGTTCTTTTAGCTTTAGTAGTATTTTGGAGCTAGGTAGAGCTATCAAGGAGAGCTTGTACTTGGGAGAAGGATCTCGGTATGAATACATTCAAGGTTTCTTCCAAAGTCTTGCTCTTATCTTATTTTAGCCAAATTGCATTGTTAGAGTATAGTTCTTATGTTTTGATTTCATTACATAGAACTTTATGCTTAAACGGTTCATACAATACCTATATGATAGATTTGAGGTGGCGGTTCGTTGTAACCTTCGGGTTAGCCCATGTTCTAGCTCGTCCATCCGTAGGGTGGGAGTCCGCGGGGGATATGGGTTGTTCCTTAGTACGCGGGTATGGTGCCTGGGTGCGAGGGAACCTTCGGATATGACGGTATGCCCCGGTTGAGGTGGTAGGCGGCAGGTGGTGATAGCCATGTCCGTCCCTTGTAATCTCCCACGTTCGTATTCCGTGTAGGAGTTCGTAAATGTCTCTGTCGGCCGGGAGTCCGGTTGCGGGGATCTCCCCACCATCTCATGCTTAACTCTTGTTTTAGTCATATAGATTTGTATGATCATTCACTTATTCTTTGCACGGCTATATTAGAACATGCCTGCTCCGCTTAGGAATATTCTTTCATTCTTTGTTTTTCTTTTATCCTTGAGGTTGGCCCAAATGTGTGTCACACTATCCTACTATCATGAATTACCCATGTTTAGAGTATTGGTCTATTATACAGTCATATCCTGTTCATGTCCCTACTAAAGACTCTTACACCATGCCTTTCTACGGGAAAATATAAATGAACGATACCCGAATACTCCCGGGTGAAGTGCTACAACGATAATTCCGTGCGCTTGCGGACTTGTTCTGTAAACGTTCAGAACTATCGTTGAGGTATTTCCTAATGACGTTGCTAATTCTAGCAATGACGTTAAGAAACGCCAACAAGGGACTCTGGTCCGAACACCGACACTATCTGTGACTGAATTTTGGTACAACACGTCTACTCACTCAGCTTTGGGTAAATCTCCATTTGAAGTTCTGTATGGCTACACACCGAGGCAATTGGGTATTGCCAATCTTCAGCTGTGCACAATCCCTTATCTAGAACAATGGTTAACTGATCGGGGGTTGCTCTCTCAGCTGGTTAAGCAGCAGCTTCTCCGAGCTCAGCAACGGATGAAGTCACAAGCTGATAAGCATCGTACTGAGCGGACATTTCAAGTTGGAGACTGAGTGTTTCTGAAACTGCAGCCCTATATATGTTCAATCAACTGTTGATGCGAGGTCTAATCAGAAGCTTTCATTCAAGTTCTATGGTCCGTTCAAAGTGCTGCAACGGGTGGGAGAAGTCGCTTACAAACTGGATATGCCAGTAGATGCCAAGATTCACCCTGTTGTGCATGTATCCCAGCTGAAGAAGCAGATACCACCTGCTGTTCCGGTCAGTTTCGATTTATCTTCAGTCAGCGTGGATCCTGATATCATTCCGTGGCCGACGAAGCTGAAGGACAAGCGACTCATTCGTCGAGGTGATAAGCTCATTCCTCGATACTTGATTCAATGGAGTACTCTGCCTCACAACATGGCGACCTGGGAGAATGCGACTCTACTGCCGGTGCACTTTCTGCCATCAGTGGGGTGATATTGTCGGATGAAGCACAGCTTGAGGACAAGCTGGTTATTAAGAAGGGGGGAGTGTTACGGCCCATGGGCCGTTGGGCCTGTTATCTGTAGTCGGTTGTAACCGAGAGCGTGTGCGTGCTGCCTGCATGCAGCGGGGTGCCGGCCAGCAGTTAAATGGCTGAGCCGTTGTAAGTGAACGGTTAAGGAAGAACACAAACCTGAACTCTTCCTACTTTGGCTTCCACCGTTTTCTTTGGTCTCTGTGACATATATATATATAGGGATGACACTTCCACGGGTGGGGAAGCGAGACAGATGGAGGAATACTGATGGACAGCAATGACTTTTTCTGTTTTCGTGCACTAAGCGTATTGATGTGAGTGGTGCGAGAAGATTTGTGGGGAGGACGGCGAGCTAGCTCCTTGCAGGAGCAGTACAACAAGGTATGGTTCAAGATAAATGCTAAGCCTTGAAGGAGCTGATAGCTCATTTTGCGGGAGCTGATACCTTTCCATTCTGTCTGACATTCCCAGTGTATTTGGAACAACAAGGCCTTTAACATTCTTTTTGGTTGTGATCTGGATACCTCTTTTTAGTTAGAAAATTGTAGAAAATCCGTACTAGTTGAACTTGCGGACCGTGTTCATCTCGGCTAGCATATTCTCTACCGAGCGGTAATGGACGTCAAGGAGGAGCTTTGATTCTACGAGGGAGAGCGGCAACGGTCGTGGAAGACCGTGTTCCCTTCCTCGTAGAATCGGAGCTCTTCCTTGGCCAAGTACGGTGCCGTCCGGTGAAGAAATGCTCGCCGAGATGATCACGTAAGCAAGGTCAACTAGTACGGATGGGAGGATATATTTATGGACAAAATTGCATGTTTGTTGTGAATGATTGGCATGCCAGTCTAGTGCCAGTGTATGTTGTGGATCTACTCATCTGAATCCTACATGCCTACACCTTTATTTTGCAGTGCATGCCACATTACTTTAACATTCTTTGATTCTTTTTTCATGTATGTTCAACTTCATCTGCGTATACATTATTGTTGGCAGTTCTAAGGAGCTTATCAGTTCTTTAACACTTGTCAACTTATTCTGGTGATTCTAGTTCTTAGTAGTTAGTCCATCAGCTGCATACTCTGAACCATCATTTTATTCCAAACTAGAAACGCATGTTGTCGCATTGAAGAATTGTAAATTTAATTTTTTTTGGTAGAAAAATGATTTGTAGGGGCGGTTGGTACTGTAGCCGCCCCTACAAATCGATTTGTAAGGGCGGCTGGTGTTCCCAGACCGCCCCTATAAATCGATTTGTAGGGGCGGCTACAGTATCAACCGCCCCTACAAATAGATTTGTAGGGGCGGCTGAAAACAACAGCCGCCCCTAGAAATCGATTTGTAGGGGCGGCCTGAAAACCGCCCCTACAAATACATGATTTGTAGAGACCCTTGCGTAGGGGCGGCTGGGCAAACCGCCCCTACAGAGCCTCTGGAGCCGCCCCTAAAAATCCTTTTTGTAGTAGTGGCTCTTCGACGCATGACACTTCCATGACGAAGTGCACGCCCTCGTCGTCCTCGCGCAGGCACACCACGACCCTGCTCCCGCCCAACTCCGACGTGCAATGCGGCTCGCTGGTTCTCTCGGACTACTGCACATATGCGAATACGCGATGGGGAGGATGGCTGCCACGAGTTCCGCCCCGAGCGGTGGCTCGATATGGCAGTGGCGAGTTCATGCCGGTGGAAACGGCGAGGTAGGGACTAACGGACTAGGCGGATCCTTAACGCCCCATACGCATCCATGTATGCATACGCCCCTGACAGTGGGTCAACAAAAGCGTAGAAAATAACATAAATGAGAGAGCGATAGAATTATAATGGTAAGCTAGGAAAATTGCAATGGCGTAAATAGGAAAACCCTTTAATATTAGGTCTAGATATCAAACATGTCACGGCCCCTTCCTCGGTGAAGATGCAAAAGTCGAATATAGGAGTACATCTTACAAACAAACATAACCACTTGGCATGAACATGCATGCAAAACATGCAGCTCAGTAGAATAGACATATGCATACATATGGTTCCGAATCATGCATAAATACGTCACACATATACAATCCCTAACTTAATAACTTAATACAGGTTCGAACGATAAGTTATTCATGGGTCTTGTGGATCCTGAGAACGATCATGCCTTATTAAATTGCAGATGGTTTCGAGGTTTCAGTTGCGGCGGCCTGGCCTGGCCCCTTGTTAGCTGCAGGGTCCCTGTTGAACGAGAAACCTACTTCACTCCCATAGATCGGTGAAGCAGAACGAGGCCTTCTAACATACTTCCTGGTTTTACTTTTGCCGTAGAGTTCACTTAGCTTCCCATCGGCAAACTTGTTAATCCCAAGACTGTAAGGCAGATCAGATTTCTTGTTTTCCTCCACTCTCATCACAGTCTCCTTGAAGTAGCTGAACCGGCGAGCCATCTCCTCACGGTCACGTTCCTGGTTAAAAAACTTGCACCAGCGCTCATACAGGTCCCTTAGGGCATCATCTGACTCAAGATCCTTCTCATTTGCCTCGAATTTCGCCCAATCTATAGAGACATAATTGTGCGGATCAGATTAGCTGTATAAATAAATGAATAAATGATACATATAACAACAAAAAGGAGAGTAAATATCGCCTAATGATACAGACTACATTTAGGCTAGGCCTGTTCCTTGGTTGAGTGAGCTAAACCGTAACCCAGTCCACAACCAACCAGGATGGAACCATAATCATGGTGCGCGAGGAGGGAAACACTATAAACACAGAACAAAGAACAATATATTTGACAGCCTTGCGGGTTTCGACCCGAGAAACCAGTCAAGACTGGGCTTGGCCTCGCATCGCGGAAACAGGTAGAAAGAAAAAAGAACAATACATTTGGCGGTTGTCCCTCTCACACACTTGAGCTCAGTTTGAGCCTCCCCCAGCTATTGACATAGGAGGCAAAAAGGTATACAACTCAATTCAAGACCGGATATATCAAAAGAATTCATTCAGGCTCCTGCCACAGTGAAGCACAACCCCAAACTGTTTTGGTGCCGCTGGCGGAATAAACTAACACCAGGGAAACATAGCGGGCAGTATCAAATCAAGCTACAGTAGCGGCCGCTGGCGCAACACCTGGGAATCCAAGTGCCCGAGCTACCGTGGCCACTGCGCAGCCAGCTCAGCTCCGATGATCGGAGAACCTGCTGGCCATGACACATGCAGAGACCCCACCCGCCACCAGATGCAAAGTCGACATTATGGTTCGGCAGCTGAATTTTTTCCAGCCGATGCAGCTGCTCTGCCTCCCACAAAATCAATGTGCAAGCAGCCAGCATAAACTGCTTTTACAACGACATCTTAAGAATGGCCACCGCCGCGCTGGCAGCAACCCTTGGATCGACCCACACAAGCGTATTTAACCAGCAGTAATCCATTGAAAACCAATAGACTCGTATTTATCCCAGTCCGAATGCACTAGAGTGGATTGGAATTGAAAATTATATAATTTCTACCAAAATCCACTCCAACTCAACCTAGAATGATGTGAATACGAGTGCATCCAAACTTAAACACTAAACCAGCACCGAACAAATCGGGACCATGAATGACCAACATGGATGTGTTCGGCAAATAGAACATATATAACATGGATTCAGATCCGAAAAATTAGACGGATCAGTATAAGGCTGTGGATTCGCGTGCACTAAATTAGCGTCCTACTAACGTCTGACCTTAGATATAGGGAGGTATTATTGGGGGTACGGATACCTGGTTGGACGAAGGGTGCCCCGGCCATGACTGCTTGTAATTTGGCGATGGTGTCGTGAGAGAGGCTGCTCCGAGGGGCCCCTGCCGCGACGGGGGGATGAACACTGCCAGATGACGCGGGACTCCGGGCGGTCCCCGCTGCAGCAACGGAGGAAGAGTGCTTGAGCGGATCTGAGGCCGCCGCACCGCCTGAACCAGAGCGGGCCGCCGCCGCCGCCGCAAAGCGATATGCAGCCGACGCAGCTGAGCTGGAGACGCGAGCAGCCGCCCGGAGGATCAGGGACGCCATCGACGGCATGACGGGAGATGAGAGGATGGATGGGGTGCGGATGGCGTTGCCGGTGGATGGGGAAAGACTGATTCCGGTTAGGGTTTGGAAATCCCTATAGGAAAAACCAAAGTATACCGATATAATATGCAAAACTCTTTTTTTTTTAGAAAACATGCAAAACTCCTTAGACCCCAGCCGGAAAAATAAGAAGAATCATTATGATCTATATAACTCCCAATGTTGATAGACCCTTTCCTAAAGACATTGTCTATAAACAATTTGATCAAAGATCAATATGTCATATATTATCCATGAAAACCCCCGTGGGGAAAAATAGATAAGAGTAAATACACGTTGGGTCCTCAAACTTTTAGGGCGTTCTCATCTAGGTCATCGAACTAAAAATGCAGCCGCCTAAGTCCCTAAACTACTACCTTCGCACCAACGGTCAAAAAACACCACACGAGCACTAGCATTTGACGTGGCCATGTGTTGACGAACAAACACACCTCCTTCAACACACCAGCGGGCTTTGGACGTCAAAGAGGTTGCAAACAACCTACACATGCAGCAAACACGCAGCAAGAACCGGCCTAAACGATCTAGAGACCGTTAGGGCCGATGTAGCACTCGTGTTCGGCTGAAAAGGCTCCCGAACACCCCTCGGAAGGATCCGTCGGAGAGATGCACGTGGAGGATGCCCTAGGATCAGCAAGGCCGCATATAACGCCGACCAATCTCGCGGAGAGACGTGCCAAACAATATAATAGTTGGAGAGATAGAATTTAGGGTTTTGGGTAGTTGAATTTGACGATTGATTGGATGTGATCAATCGTCTATGATCCTCTCGTATATATAGAGGAGGTGGTCTTATCCCAGTATAAAACATCCTAAGATACGTATCTCCAAGTTCCCTACGTGTAAAACTTGCCAAAAACGTGATTCTAAACCGAATCGGTTCGGACTTACAGAGGAGGCCGGCTTAGCCGGGTTCCAACCCAGCTAAGGCGGGTTATGCGGGCACGAGAACCCCTTAGGCCGACCTGGATAGTGGGGCCAGCTTAGCCGACCTGGTAGGCACAGAACCGGCTTAGCCGGGTTCAGGGCCGCTAAGCCGGCCTACTCGGGGCAGGCAGGGGTCTAGCCCATCTTCACGTGTTTTTCTCCTCCATTTGCTATGCCATTGATTTTCCAACATATTTATCTTCTTTTTTATGCCATTATGACACCAAAATTCACTTCGGACAATTTTGGGTGTCAACACATACCCCCTGTTTTCAGGTGAATGAAGCGATGAACCTGAAAACACAAACCAAAACAAAACTGACCAGCGACGATACCCATCACATCGGCTGTTCAGCGCCTAAGGGCGATGTTATACATCGGTCATTTTTTGTTCTAAGGGCGATACATGTATCGGCCATTATTTGGAGAGCACTTAGGCTTCTTGCCAAACACTTGGAAAGTACCTTTTCAAATACCTTCCGTTGATTGCTCTTGGGAGACTCTCACCTTGCAACGTCTTCGGCAGATAGGAATTACCGAATATCACTCTGACCACTTTATAAGGACATTCCCAATTAGGTGACCATTTGCCGAATTGATTGCTTTTCGAACCAATAGGTAGTATGGTTTTCCACACTAATTCTCCCACTTGGAACGACTTGACCTTCACCTTCTTGTTATATGCTTTGGCAACACGAGCTTTGTCCTTCTCAATCTTCTTTAGAGCCATTATTCGTTTATCGGTCACCTCGTCAATATTATCCATCATAAGATCATGATACATAACAGCATATAGATCATTTTGTTTAGCAAGCCTATATATGCATCCAAATTCACCTCTACGGGCAACACAGCTTCTTGACCATAAATAAGCTCAAAAGGAGTCACCTTAGTAGCATCATATCTAGATATACGATGGTATATCTAGATATACGATGGTCTAACCGCATCGGCACGCGAATACGCGTGGCGTCTCGTCTTCAACCTCGGGACGCCGCCCGCCCATCCCGCCCACCGCCCGCGAGTATGCGACCTCGCGTCTCCTCTTCTACCTCCGCGACCTCGCACCTGGGGCCACGCCCGACCACGGGCCATCGACGGCGCTGCAGTTTGCTCGGATGACGTTTGGTTGGTGGAGCAGCAAAACAGCTCTAGGAGCTGCCCCAGGAGCCACACAAAACGGCCCCCATATACAGGTACACCTGGCCCCCATGGCCATCCAAACTCACAAACCATTTCTTGGCCCTCCAAAACATGTACAGCTAGCGTTTCACAGTCCCACTAGTGCTAGGCTTCTAGCTACTAGGAGTCCAGGATTGAACCAGCCAGCGGCAGCAGCGATGGCGGAGACGGACGCCGACAAGCTCCGGTTCATCGAGGAGGTGACCGCCGACGTGGACGCCGTGCAGAAGCGCGTGCTAGCGGAGATCCTCGGCCGTAACGCCGGCGCCGAGTACCTCACGACGAGGTGCGGCCTGGGCGGCGCCACCGACCGCGGCACCTTCCGGGCCAAGGTCCCCATGGTGACATACGAGGACCTGCAGCCGTACATCCTGCGCATCGCCCACGGTGACCGCTCGCCCATCCTGTCCGGGTCCGGCCACCCCGTCTTCGAGCCAAGGTTTTCATTTTCGGAAATTAAAATTTATCGGGTGTCACAGATAAAGAGGATAAACAGGATATATCAGAAATATCGGACCAAATTCAAATAAAATTTAATTTGAATTTAAGTAAATTTAAATAAATTTAAACAAAATTTGTACGAAAAAGATTGATATTTTCTTATCGGCACCTACGGATAAAGAGGATATATCGGAAATATCAGGAGATTTCGGCCGATATTGAAAACCATGCTCCGAGCTCCTCACCAGCTCCGGCACCTCCGGCGGCGAGCGCAAGCTGATTCCCATCGTGGAGGACGAGCACGACCGCCACCATCGATTGCACAACCTCGTCGGGGCAGTCGTCAATCAGTAAGCACAGAGCCACAGATCGATGCTTGCTTGCAGGTCGGTCATGGTGCGTGGCATGATCGATGCTTGCTTGCAGGTCCGTGCCTGGGCTCGACAAGGGGAGCGGTCTCTACTTCCTTTTTGTCAAGTCGGAGACGACGCCGGGTGGCCTGCCTGCGCGCACCATCCTCACGCGCATCTTCACGAGCGACGGCTTCTGGAAGCTCCCCTACAACCCCCAGCGCGGCCTCACGAGCCCAGCGGCGGCCGTCGTCTGCGAGGACACGTTCCAGAGCATGTACGCGCAGATGCTGTACGGCCTGTGCCACCGCCACGCTGTGCTGCGCGTCGGCGCCGCGTTCGCCTCCGGCGTCCTCCGGGCCATCCGTTTCTTCCAGCGGAACTGGGCGCAGCTCGCCGCGGACATCGACGCCGGCACGCTCACCGACCGCGTCACCGACCCCTCGGTGCGTCAAGCGCTCGCCGGCGTCCTCCGACAGCGAGACCCCGAGCTTGCACGGTTCGTCCGTTCCGAGGGCTCCAAAGGCGACGAGGCCGGCATCATCGCGCGTCTTTGGCCAAACACCAAGTACGTCCACGCCGTAGCCACGGGCTCCATGGCGCACTACGTCCCAGCCCTCAATCACTACAGCGGCGGCCTGCCGATCGTCTCCACCGAGTACTTCTCCTCGGAGTGCAGCATCGGCATCAACCTCCGGCCGATGTGCGACCCGTCCGAGGTGTCCTACTACACCGTCATGCCCAACATGGCCTACTTCGAGTTCCTGCCCACGGACAACGACGACGCCACGGCGGCGAGCCAGCTCGTGGAGCTCCCCCGCCTGGAGGCCGGGCGCGAGTACGAGCTGGTGGTGACCACGTACTCCGGGCTGTGCCGGTACCGTGTCGGCGACGTCCTCCGCGTGACGGGGTTCCACAACGCGGCGCCGCAGTTCCGGTTCGTGCTCCGCGGGAACGCGCTGCTGTTCGTCGAGTCGGACAAGACGGACGAGGTGGAGCTGCAGCGCGCGGTGGAGCGCGCGTCGGCCGCGCTGCTCCGCCCGCTCGGCGCCGCCGTGGCGGACTACACCGCCCGGACGTGCGGCGAGACCGTGCCGGGGCACTACGTCGTCTACTGGGAGCTGCAGCTGCCGGCCACCTCCGGCGCCGAGGGACCGTCGTCCGCGGACGTCGTGGTCGACGGCGAGGTGCTGGACCGGTGCTGCCTGGAGATGGAGGAGGCCCTGGACTCGGTGTACAGGCAGAGCCGGGTGGCGGACCGCTCCGTCGGCCCGCTGGAGATCCGGGTGGTCCGGCCGGGCACCTTCGAGGAGCTCGCGGACCATGCCGTGGCGCGTGGCGCCTCCGTCGGCCAGTACAAGGTGCCCCGGTGCGTCACCGCGACGCCGGACATCGATCTGCTCGACTCGCGCGTCGTCTCCAACCACTTCAGCCCCGCATTGCCGCACTGGGTGCCTGGTCAGCAGTTCCAATAATCGGACAGGGCAGGGAGAAATGCTAATGAGGCTCTGCTGCATATATAATGGGGAAGCTGTAAAAAATCAGAAAACACGCATTCTAATTACGATTTTTTTAGGAACATTCTAATTACGATTAATTTGACCACGCTATTATAATTGTCACTGTTCATCTTTCAAGAAAAATAAAAATTATCATGTTTTTACTTCCACCTCAAGGTTTTCAGTTTGCTTACAAAAGTCCCTCAACTAAGTTTTCATTTTTCCTATTTTGTCTTCCAAGAACGTAGCATCTTGATCCTTCAACATAATTTGCTATTTCTGTAGAAACATGAAAATTTTGTGAAAAAAACTCATTAGACGAATTTGGGATCTTCTTCTCAATCCCCATCTTATTCCTAACACTCCATAAACCCCACAAATAATAGTGAAAGTGAAAAGCTTTAAATGCTAATCCTTCACCCCAAGGGAATCCAATGTTTAGACACATATTGCATATTTCTAGGCACTTTGTCCCATCCCAAAGCTTCTTCCGACCAAAACCAAACACACAATAAAAACAATGTATATAGAAAATCCAAAACGTCTTATAATTTCGAATAAAGAGGACTATTTGTCATATTAGAATGCTGCCATTACATTTTACCACGTATTTGAACCATGCTACTTTATAGAGGCGAAGCTACATGTATTCTCAACAATACCTAATGCAAAGTATTTATCTTTTTAATATATACAGTATTAACCAGTAGGGGCTTTTACCCCTCCTGATTTCCTAAAAAATACCTAATTATTTTCCATCAAATTTAGTATATATGAACATATACATATGTGTAAGTAATATTGTGTTGGAGAATTAATGTGAATCCTCAACATATTTGACGACAAATGGACCACGGACAAATGTAGTAACGAGTTTTTCTTTTCCCTTGCAGTAAGAAAGAAATATGTTGTTTCATCTTTAACTGTTATCGTTTCATCATGACTCTTCTTAGAGCAAATAAAAAAATACACTTCCCAGAAATTGACGAATTGCTAAATCACTTGTATTTTTTTTTCAATTTTGTTTCCTCTACATGTATCTTTGTGCTGGCATGACAAGTCCTTGCTTTGGCACAAGTACGACCCATAGCATGTCGCCCCGCTTTCATGTCGTGACACGGGCCAAGCACTTCCATTAGAATACCTTTACTTCTTTTCGCCATTTTTATGGAATGTTTGGATGATTTTTTTTTTATAAGTTGATGGAAGGGGAGAGGATCCCCACCTGATAGTTGAAATACATTTTGCGCGGAGCGCTTTTACATTTTGTTTCGGTTCTACATGGGTTTCGATGATTTTCATAGTCCATTCAAAAAATATAGGGGAGGTATGGTACTAAACACTAGGCAATTGCATAGACACGTTGTAATCATGCTTACGTTTTGTGCCGTGCTACCCATGATGTTAAGATCCTAGACGTGGTGAGACTCAAAAAATTTTACGCCGTGCCATGTCAGAAGATTATGCCGCTATCCATCCTAAAATAGCAGTCTATGTCTCCATATAAAAAAGTTAGTAGTCAATCATTTATTTTGTTGACTGAATTTAGCTTTACAATCGCAAAATGAAACTCGAAAAATAGATGTAGACAGCAGAAAAAAACAAAATGACAGCATATTTACAAACATTATTGTTTGTCAAACCAAATAGACACACGACAGCAGTACGAGATGAGACCGATGTATGCTCTGGATCGTCATTCAGCACTTCCATCCTGCTCCCTTCTCCTCACTTGCACCGGCAAGCCCCCTTTCATCCTAAGCGTCACGGAGAGCACGTGCTCCGGCACGCCGCCGCCGGCGACCTCCTTCCTGACGTCGACCACGAACTCTTCCAGCACGCTAGCGACGACGGGCTTCATCTGCACGTACGCCATCTCCTTCCCGAGGCACATCCTGGGACCCGCATGGAACACGGTGTACCGGAACAGGCTCTCGGGCCGCCGTCGTCGAGCCACCGCTCCGGCCGGAACTCGGCGCAGTCGTCGCCCCATATGGCCGAGAGCCAGCCCATGGCGTAAGCGCTGTAGGTGACAGACCAACCCTTTCCGACGCGCGTGCCATCAGGCAGCGTGTCGTCCGCGGCGCACGACTGCGAGTCGAGCAGCGCCGGCGGGTACAACCGCATCGACTCGGTGAGCGCGGCGTGCAGGTAGTGCATGCCGCGCAGCGCGTCGAAGCCGAGTGGCAGGCCGGGGCGCGTGCCCGTGGAGGCCCGCGCCGCGCGGACCTCGGCGAGCACGCGCGCTGTCATGGCAGGGCGCGACGTCGACAGGAGCCAGAAGAACCACGTCAGCGCCGACGACGTGGTCTCCCGCCCGGCTATGAGGAAGCTGAGCATGATGTCCCTCAGCGCCTCGTCGCTATGCTCGGCGCTCGCCACGAACCGCGACAGGACGTCGTCCCTCTGGCTCTGGTCGACCGACACGCTCGCGCTCTGGCGCCGGGCGCGGACGATGCCCATGGCGAACGCTTGCACGTCCGCGATGGCCTTCTTGAGCCGCCGCTCGCTGCCGACGTTGAGGTCCTGTGCCTCGCTGAACGTGTGCATGAACTCGGATTTTTCCGCCCAGTGTGAGCGTAACCCTGGTGCACTCAGTTAGTCCAGAAGCAGCCCAGTCAAGCGTGGAAGCAGTTGGCGGGGTGGTGAAGTTTGACCCTGCTGCAGTTATCTTGTGCGTGTGTTTAGCCTTGTTTAGGCAGTTGTTTAGCCTGTCATTGTGTGTGTGCGCGCGCTACTGGTATAAATAGCTTGTCTGAGCACCGTGCAAAACTGCTTGGACCATTTGTATCTGCCATGTACTGATCAAACATATCTGAGTATAAAAGAGCTCTGCCAGACGACAGTGTTCAGGGTCTTTCTCTGAGTTCAGTGCATGATTTACATTTGTTCTTGATTCCGGTTAGGATTAGCCATCGTATAATCGTGTGATCTATGATTCTAAATCCTACATTTGGTATCGGAGCCATAGATCACACGTTCTAGCATTGACAAATACCACAAACTTGATCCATGTCGACCTCTGGAGGAGATTGTTCGCGGGGAGTTGGAGGCGGAGGGCAGCTGGTCTATCCGACCCTGACGGTGACGAAGTACACCAGTTGGTGCATCCGGGTGCAGGAGATCATGGAGGATCAGAGGGTGTGGGAGGTTGTGGAACCGCCGGAGGGGATGTCGGGGGAGAAGCGAACAGAGGCGGCAGCAAGCAAAGACAAGAAGGCAAGATCTCATCTACTTCAGTGTTTGCCTGATGATTTGCTGATGCAAGTTGCGAAGAAGAAGAGTGGCAAGGAGGTTTGGGACTCTTTGAAGGCGCGGTTTGTTGGGGCAGATCGGGTGAAGGAGGCACGGCTGCAAACTCTGAAAAGTGAGTTTGACGCCCTACGGATGAAGGAGGATGAGACGCTCGACAGTTACACTGGACGATTGACGGTGATGTCGGTGAAGTTCAGTAACCTGGGAGGGACGTTGGATGATGCAGCGATGGTGAAGAAGTTGTTCGACACCATGCCCGATCGCTTCATCAACGTCGTGGCCAGGATCGAGCAATTCTTTGATTTGCAGAAGCTGGCATTTGAGGAGGCGGTTGGGAGATTGAAGGCATTTGAGGAACGGACACGGCTGGGAGCTGGATCCGTGAAGAGTGACAGTGGTCAACTATTACTCACTCAAGCCGAGTGGGAAGCTAGGCAGAAGAGATCAGGCGGTAGTGATTCCTCATAGAGGGGAAGGTCACAGGATGGTGGCGGCCAGGGGCGTGGCCGTGGCCATGGCCGAGGCTGTGGTGGTCGTGGAGATTCATCTGGCAAAGATGGAGCTGGAGGTGGGAAGGACAAAAGCCATATCAAATGTTTCAAGTGCCACAAGTATGGACACTATGCAAATAGATGTCCAGATGCTAAGAAGCAGGAGGAGGCACATCATGCTCGTGCAGAGGAGGCAAAGGAGCCACAAGCACTCATGCTTGCAGAGACTGAAGTAATTGTTTTAGGGAGTAAGGGGGGAGAGTGTGTATCAGCATGAAGGAGATGTGATGCCAGAACTGCATCTTACTAGTGGTGGGGCTTCTTCAGGAGATCTGTGGTACCTTGACAATAGTGCAAGCAACCACATGACAGAAGATCTGGAGAAATTTAAGACACTTGATGATGAGATCACTGGAAAGGTGAAGTTTGGAGATGGTTCTACGGTTGAGATCAAAGGTAAAGGAACTATTTTGTTTCAGTCTAAGTCTGGTGATCAGTGGGCTTTGACAGAAGTTTTTTTCATTCCTAAACTTAGAAGCAACTTGATTAGTCTTGGACAATTGACTGAAACTGGACATAGAATAGTACTTGATGATGATGTACTAGAAGTGTCAGAGAAAATCCTTTCAAATTGATCATGAAGGTAGATAGAACTCCAAATAGATTGTATAAAGTTGAGTTGAAAACAGTTGTACCTGTTTGCTTTCTGGCTAGTTTGAATGATTAGGCTTGGTTGTGGCATGGGAGATTGGGTCATGTAAATTTTCATTCTATGAAGCTCTTGACTGACAAGGAGATGGCAGAGGGAGTGCCTGCAATAGCACACCTAGATCAGCTATGCAGAGCCTATCTGACATCCAAACAGACAAGAACTCCTTATACAAGAGTGGCTAGGTGGAGAGCACAGAAGAAGTTGGAGTTGGTCCATGTTGATCTGTGTGGCCCAATCACACCATCAATAGCAGGTGGAAATAGGTATTTTATGTTGTTGATTGATGACAACACAAGGTGGTGTTATGTGTATGTCTTGAAGACCAAGGACCAGGCACTTGATGCCTTTGTGAAATTTAATGCAGAAGCTGAGAATGTTACTGGTGAGAAGATCAAGGTCCTGAGGTCAGATAGAGGTGGTGAATTTCTTGCAGCTACACTCAGGGAAAAGTGTGAGAAAGCTAGAATTCAGAGGCACCTCACTGCACCATATTGTCCACAACAGAATGGTGTGGTTGAAAGAAAGAACACGATAGTGATGGAGATGGCTAGATTACTGTTGAAGAGTATGATTATCCCAGGGAGGCTTTGGGGTGAAGCAATGAGGCATTTAGTTTATCTGTTGAACAGATTACCTACTAAGGCCATGGGTGACAAGACTCCATTTGAAGGTTGGTATGGGAGAAAACCAAATCTTGGTTATCTGAAAGTGTTTGGCTGCACTGCTCATGTCAGGACAGCAGGAACACACCTGAAGAAACTTGATGATAGGAGTAAGCCTATGGTGTATCTAGGTGTTGATGAAGGGTGCAAGGCTCATAGATTACTTGATGTAACTGGCAATAAGGTTGTTGTCAGTAGGGACATTATTTGTGAGGAATCTGTACCATGGAGCTGGTCTGTAGTGTCTAGTGAAGATGTTACTGTAGATTTTGTTGTTGTTGATGAGGTAGAACCAGTAATCTATGATGTTGGGAGTGGAAATAGTGGAGGAGATGCTCAGCAGACACAGTCAGTGTCAGGGGGAGCATCTGGTGGAAACATAGTGGAGTCAGCAGGACAGACAGGCAATGTGCCAGATGAGCTACAATCACCAGTGTCAGTGATAGGAGATGGGGCAGTTGTAGTGTTTCAGAATCCATCTAGTGCACACTCAGTTGGTTCTAACAGTCAGTCAGCAAACAATGGTGATTTTGGGTTGTCAGATAATGAACAGTACAATAGTTTAGAAGACAACCCAATGAGGTTCAAAAATCTGAATGAGATTTATGAGAATACCTCTGAAATTGACTTGATTGAGGACTCAGATGTGGAAGCTATGTTGATAATTATGGAGGACCCAACATGCTACAAAGAAGCTGCTGGAGATGAAAACTGGGAGGCAGCAATGAGAAGTGAGCTTCAGTCAATCACAAGAAACAAAACTTAGGAATTGGTTAAATTACCAAGTGGACAGAGACCCATTGGTCTTAAGTGGGTGTTTAAGTTGAAAAAGAATGTTGAAGGTGAGATTGTCAAATACAAAGCTAGACTGGTGGCAAAGGGATATGTCAAGAAGCAAGGAATTGATTTTGAAGAGGTTTTTGCATCAGTTGCTAGATTGGATACAGTCAGGTTGATATTAGCTATGGTTGCCAATAGGGGTTGGCAGATACATCACCTTGATGTTAAGACTATTTTTTCTGAATGGTGAGTTGCAGGAAGAAGTTTATGTTACTCAACCAGAAGGGTTTGAAGTCAAGGGCAAAGAGAATTATGTGCTGAAGTTGAACAAAGCATTATATGGCCTGAGACAAGCTCCAAGGACCTAGAATGTGAGACTTGACAAAAGCCTGAAATCACTGAACTTTACCAAGTGTGATTGTGAACCAGCAGTGTACACAAGAGGATTAGGAAAGACAACTTTGATTCTAGGGGTGTATGTTGATGATCTGCTTGTGACTAGAGGAGATCTAGTAGAAATCATGAAGTTCAAGAAGGAGATAACTCAGTTTGAGATGAGTGACTTAGGTCTATTGTCATTCTATTTGGGGATTGAAGTTGACCAGAGGGAGGACTTCATTGCTATCAAGCAGACAAGTTATACTGATAAAGTAATGAAGCAATTTGGTATGGGTGACTATAATCCAACAGCAGTGCAATGGATCCAGGGACCAGACTTCACGAAGATAAGAGAGGAGAACCAATTGATGCCACTGAATACAGAAAGTGGTTGGGTGTCTAGGTACTTGCTGCACACAAGACCTGATCTAGCTTTTTCTGTTGGAATGGCTAGCAGATTCACGGAGAGACCAACTATATTGCATACCAAGGCAGTGAAACAGATTTTGAGATATCTCAAAGGTACTATGGATTTGGGTCCGGTTTACACTCAGTTTGGTGGTGAGGAAATATTGGTGGGGTATACTGATAGTGATTTGGCTGGTGATTTGGTTGAGAGAAGCACTAGAGGAATCGCATTTTACCTGAATGGTAACTTGATCACATGGTGCTCTTAGAAACAGAAAACAATTGCTTTGTCATCTTGTGAGTCTGAATTTATGGCAGCAACAGCAACAGCTATGCAAGCATTGTGGCTTAGAGGTCTACTAAGTGAGCTGACAAAGACAAAGACCAAAGTGGTGACACTGTATGTTGACAATAATTCAGCAATAGCACTGATGAAGAACCCAGTATTCCATGGTCATAGGAAACACATTGATACTAAGCTTCATTTCATCAAGTAGTGCATCAAGAGAGGAAAGATTGTCGCAAAACGAGTTTGTACTGGGGAGCAGAAAGTAGACTCTCTGACAAAGGCATTGCCAATAGGAAATCTAATGGTGATGAGGCACTTGCTCGGTGTTAGAGAGTTGAGTGCACTACAGGGTTAAGGGGGAGACTGTGAGTGTAACCCTGGTGCACCCAGTCAGTCCAGAAGCAGCCTAGTCAAGCGTGGAAGCAGTTGGAGGGAACTGGTGAAGTTTGAACCTACTGAAGCCGAGTGGTGGTGATCGCGCCCATGTT